AGGAGCCACAGTTTTGGTCGGTTTGAGGGCTTTAGAGTGGGCGTGGCACATTGCTGAAACAAACTTGCGCTGTGTAAGAAGTTCAGGAATCTGCACGCCAATTCTCAAAAGCCTAGCTCTTATAGTTCGAGACCTAAGCGTTCATCTGGACAGACGGACAAACGGACAGACGGACATGGCTAGATCGACTTGGCTAGTGATCCTGATCAAGAATATATATACCTTATGGGGTCGGAAACGCTTCCCTCTGGTATACCCTTTTACTCTACGAGTAACGGGTATAAAAATTATGCGCTCTTGGCAGCGCTGTCGGTTCACGTTACCGACGGTACCGGTGCTGGCTGCACAGGGTGTACTTCTATGGTGGGGCACCGGTGCTGGCTGCACAGGTTCTTACTTCTTTGGTGGGGCACCGGTGCTGGCTGCACAGGTGTACTTGCAATGGGGTGAACACAATGGTCCCTCGCAGTCATTCGGCCATGTCTTCTTCAGCTTGGGAATCTCAGTTTTTTCTGGTGGAGGCAGTTTTTTTATAGTTTTGGCAAGATTTTAAATTACAGGGTAGGTGGATGTGTGTGTGGCTGTGATTTGATTTTCACGTACTGTTAGGAAGTTTTTATACCCGTTACTCGTAGAGTAAAAGGGTATACTAGATTCGTCGGAAAGTATGTAACAGGCAGAAGGAAGCGTTTCCGACCCCATAAAGTATATATATTCTTGATCAGGATCACTAGCCGAGTCGATCTAGCCATGTCCGTCTGTCCGTCTGTCCGTCTGTCTGTCCGGATGAACGCTGAGATCTCGGAAACTATGAGAGCTAGGCTATTGAAATTTGGCGTACAGATTCCTGAGCTTCTTACGCAGCGCAAGTTTGTTTCAGTAGACTGCCACGCCCACTCTAACGCCCACAAACCGCCAAAAACTGTAACTCCTACAGTTTTGATGCTAGATAGAAAATTTTAACTGAAATGTATTGTTTTTATCAATACCTATCGATTGACCCAAAAAAAAGTTTGCCACGCCCACTTAAACGCCCACAAACCGCGAAAGCCTGTGACGCCCACAATTTGCGTTCTAGAAAAAAAAATTTTCGGAAACTATGAGAGCTAGGCTATTGAAATTTGGCGTACAGATTCCTGAGCTTCTTACGCAGCGCAAGTTTGTTTCAGTAGACTGCCACGCCCACTCTAACGCCCACAAACCGCCAAAAACTGTAACTCCTACAGTTTTGATGCTAGATAGAAAATTTTAACTGAAATGTATTGTTTTTATCAATACCTATCGATTGACCCAAAAAAAAGTTTGCCACGCCCACTTAAACGCCCACAAACCGCGAAAGCCTGTGACGCCCACAATTTGCATTCTAGATAAAAAATTTTAACTGAAATGTATTGGTGTCGTCAATACCTATCGATTGATCCAAAAATAAATTTGCCACGCCCACTCCAACGCCCATAACGCTTAAATCTGTCTACCGCCGGTAGGTGGCGCATCTTAATCTCGCTTTGTTGCTTGCATATCTCCATTTCCCTTTGAGTAACGGGTATCTGATAGTCGAGGTACTCGACTATAGCGTTCTTCCTTGTTTTTTATGTGTACAACTTCGGCATGTAGTTTTACCGAGTTGTTCCAACTTATTGCATATCCGCTGTTCCGCAGCTTCAGTAATTCAGCCTTTCTGGCTTTTAATTTTTTCACTACGCCACTACGATTCGCACACATCACACTCTACTCACTGCATTTCTTGTTGTTGCTCGTACTATTGCCCTTGCTGCCGTTGTTGCCGGTGTTGCCGTTGTTGCCATTTCTTACTGTGCCAACTCCAGAAAAAGGTTCAGATCGAGTTGGACCAAAGTCACGATCGCCATGTAGTGTAAAGACTTTTTTGATTTGTTTTAATAATCTTTTTTTAAATCTGGAGCAGCATTAGTTATTTCTGATTTTTCATTTTTCCTTAGGTTCTAAGTAAGCCTAATTCTCGTAGCTGCGCTGCCCACAGTTGGACGGCAGAAAGACGGCTATGTATATCTTATATATATTATGTGTATTTAATTATGCTCTCTTAAGCTGGAGCGCGAGGGTATATGCATGTACTTGAGTTCGATTGAGCGGCCTGCGTGTGTAACAGAATGCTGACACTTGCACTTTCTGTAAGCGCGCCGATCGACTCATGTGTCGGTCACTTAAGTTTTTGACCGGGCCTTTATTTATGTAAACACTGCAACAAAGTCTTACAGTGTGTTTACTTCAAGTACTCTTGGTACAGGAGATATTCAATATATGTGCATACTACAAAGGAACTCATCCACAGCGATGCAACATACAGGGATGAGTTAATATTGAGTTAAAAATACTTTCCCCTGGCCATGTCCGGCCATAACTTATATATAAACTTTTGTTTAGAAAACGACTAAGAGTGCATTTTTCGATTTTTCGACCGACAGCGCTCAATTTCTTGCAAAAAAGTCGTCAAGTTGATGTGTGTCATACATTGTTTTTCTGTAACAACCGACCAGTCAACCGTATATCGTGCTAGTGTCGGGCCATACCGAAAAGTCCACTCCAGAGGAATTTAAAAAACAAGAAAGAACGCTATAGTCGATTACCTCGACTTTCAGATAGTCGAGGTACTCGACTTTAGCGTTCTTCCTTGTTTGAATTATGAATTCCTTTCACCCTGCCAAACTGTTTATAATGTTTACGGCGCAGTACCTTCAATGTCCCAACAGTTGCCCAACATTAATATCGATAACTATCACCGTCTCACTATACTAACAAGATCACATATCTGTAACAGCAAAAAGTAAGCTAGGATGAATGTATGGTTGAAAAAAAGCTAGATCTATAAATACAATTTTCTGACGGCTATTTCTTACAGCTTGTGCAATCTTAATAGCCATTAAACCATTATGTTTTAATTATCTTTAAATAATATAAAATATAAAATTACCAGCAGCTCAGAAAAGTGTGTAAGACTTAAATACCGTAGAAAAAGGCCATTTTAAAACTAAAAAATTTTTGTCACGTATTTTTTTTTAAGTATAGTTAACTTGTATGATTAATTAAATTATAAAACACAGTCGTGAGCTAGACAGCAACGAACACGGACGTACGATTTTTGAGCCATTTGAATCGTGTTTGCTGCCAGTTTTCTCGGGTCAATACCAGGAACGTCGGGAAATAAAGGAACATTTGCTGTTCTAGAAAGCGCACCGGTGCGCCGAATTTCTCAAAGGGACTACCGTGATTAAGCGATCAACGAAGAGGGATCAGTCTCCCCCACAAAGAAAACAGAATTGCTTAGTCTTATCAACTATATATGGCCATCTGGCCAAATTCCAGAAAGCTGCAGTGAGATGTAGTTTCGATTCCTAAAATAAATGCAGACCTAACCAAGTTACTAAGCGATCTATTCAAAGTATTGGAGGGACTAAAAAAACTGTAATTTGACCATTTAATCTCAACAAATAATATACTACCCAACAGATCTTCCGCTTGCCGAAAATTTAGGTCCACAGCAATGTGTATAAGTAATATTATAAATATATTTCAAGCCTTAAAAGCTAAAGGGTTCCAGGTGGTGGCAGCATGCCTGGACCTTCAAAAAGCCTTTGACTGTTTAGACAGGGCAAACTTTTAACTCTCTCAAACCTTCACCAAATTTAATGGGTAATTATTTTTCTTCAGAGAAGAGTTTTAGTTAACGGGAGTTGTAGTACAGTGTTAAACAGAGGGGTCTCCCAAGCCCAACTTTGTTTAACCTCTGAACATCAAATCTACACGATTTAAATGACGAAAGCTGCGAGCTTTTCCAGAATGCAGACAACTTCTTTCTAGTCTGCTTCGAAATAATTTCGGAGCTTGAAATTGAATGCAACGACTTACACCTTTCATTCAACCCATCCAGAAACCCTCTCGAAGTGATACACAAAGATATAGCAATTAAAAACGTAGACCAAATCAAGTTTCTGGGAATAATTGTAGCGGCCAACAATTCACCTTGTGCACATATCGAACAATCGATCTCATCAGCAAACAAAACATGCTCCTTTGGGGTAAATCCCAGAAAAGGTCTTCTTCTTCACAAATCGTTTGTCAAAAGAAAGCTAGAGTATGCATGGTCTTCACTTAGTAAATTTTAAAGGACAGTCATTGGTGAAATTAAAATCCATACAAAACCTGAACCTTAGAAGAGTGCTGGATCTCATTAAGTGCACACCAATACCTATCATACCACATGGCGGCTGATCATCCACCTGAATATAGGATACGTTTCCAAAGCGCAAAGAAAATAATTAAAGTCTTTCAACACGAGTTGCCTGCCAAAAATGTTTTACTCACCAATAGCGAAATTAACACCAGTTACGAAAAGTCTTACAAAGACTTTTAAAATATGTTAGACCAAGTTAAAGTTTGTGATCCGGAGCCAATCTGGGTAAGATTAGGGTAGACTTAGACTTCTTTAAGGTAACAACCAAAAATAAATGTCATATAGACCTAAGAAGTAATAGGAAAATATTTAAAGAACAAATTATAGAACTGAGAAACAAGAGCCTTAAGATTATTTATACGGACGGATCAGTCACTTCAAATCATTCAAGCGCAGCAATTGGTTAGAAGTTCAAATCATGTAGGAAGCTATTACACAAACAAAACTCTATCCTCCCTGTCCGCCGAACTCCTAGCGATAGACAAAGCCCTTGACCATGTCATCTCGTTAGGCATGCCTCGAACAGCAATTGTAAATGATTATAAAAACAGCGCCATAGCAATTGAAAAAGCCAGTCCTGACAACTAAATAACATATAATATACAAAAGAAAATAGTAAATAATTCAATACTGATACTGTGACCTCTTTCCGAGAACAACGAAAAATCCAAGCTTTGATAATGGCATGTTAAATCAAAACGGCATTAGAACATTTTACGCTTCACAAAATGTACATAGTAAACAACAACCAATGTGACAGTTGTAACGATTTTGACAATACATCGCATATTATACTCAGCTTTTCCAAACACAATACTGCCAGACATCCCTTTCCAGCCCTGGAAGAAGCAGACGGATCCTGCTACTGTTTCCCGGGCTCTTTGATGGGTCTCCGGATGGCCCAAAGAAATACAGATCCCCAATATGGCAGCTACTGACTTGATCTCACCTAGCTTTCTTCCTTCGCCATTTTCTAAGCCCGCTGCTCTCAAAAATGGGTCATTGGACGATCCGAAAGCATTCAAGATAATTCCCAAGAGCGAACCGGGATTCATTTAAATAGCTAAATCGCCCAACAGCCAGCAATAGGAGGCGCCACCGGCATTGTAATTACACTGCCTACGCTTTCGACAGTCTGTCTTGATATCGGTTTACTTACAGCCAGTTCCAACTTGAAATGCAACACCACCCAAGGAAACCATTTGACGAAACCATTCGGAACATTTAAATCCTTTCCTGATGGAACCTGGTCAACACAGGGCCCACGCTGCCGAAATTTATGACCACATTGTTGCATTTTTCCCTTGTTTACTTTGTGCCTCCTTCCAGATTACACACGGATATCTTTGGCGTGGTAAACTCCCAGTCGACGTCCCGATGGACTCGTTCTACTACATTGCTCTGCGGAGAGTATAGCGGACTCTTTAGGTGAGTGATCCCGAAACTCCGAAACTGCAGATCATTGTCAGAGTGTATTCTTTCCGGAACGCCGAATTTGTAAAAAAACTCGTTAATGAGGAAATCTACAGCGTTGAGGTGGTAGTTTCCTGTACGGTCTTCAAGAACGTTCAAGAACAGTTAGGAGAGCGGCGAGACACTCTCGGTTTCGGTGTAGTTCACCTGATGTATATTCATTTTCGTCGAGAAAGAAGCAATCAGCTGCTCCTGTCCGTCGTTGTCTCGCTGGAACAGCACCGCCCCGACTTTAACTCTTGAAGTCCGCATGCACCAGGCCTGGTGCTGTCGTTAACGCCATCTTCAATGACTCCAGGGCTAAGTGGGCGTTTAGACTCAAAGAAAACTGCGAGCTACCAGTATTCTTCAGCGATTCAGTAAGCGGAGCAGCCAACGTCGCGAAGTTCTTTATGAACCGGCGGTACGGTAATTTAGCAGTCCCAGTATCAGCATAGACGAGTGGCTCTCGGCTAGGATTACTCAATACATGAGTCTCACCAAACGCTGCACCGCGTTGCAGAATCTGAAAGGCATCACCCGGAATTTGTAGAGAGGCTGACCAGGAACAGTACAGGCCGTGAATTCCATGTTTTTTGGATCCATATTGATCTGCCAGATATGTAGTACATTTTGTCGATCTTAGACAGAATGCCAACGATACTATGTAGTGGGTAAGCATATTTAATGGTCAGATCATTCAATTTCCGGGCTTCTAAGCAGAACCGATATTTTTCAGGTCTGGACAATACCGACTCCGAGAGCTTTCATCTTGTTCACCTCATCCTCGACTACTTTCTGATTCTTGAAAACCTTGGCTCCCTCGATCAGCACAATTGTCTGTGTTTCCAGGCTGGTCGTTTCCAGACCATCGTTCTCGAACGTGAGAAACACCTGCTAAACCTCTTTAAGCTGGTAGCGCCCAGTACTCGGGATCGGCTAGTCCTCGTCGTCGTTGTCCTGTTCCATCTCCCTAGCGTGGATTTCGTCGACCTTTTTCAAGCTTTCGGGGTCGCCGTAGCCATTCACCACCGGAGCCAAGCCAAATGCTGCCAGAAGTCGAATCCTGTACAACAGGATCCGCTTTGTCTGTCCTCGGTATTCCACAGGCAACTTGACACATCTCCCAATGCCGTTTGGACCACGGAGAGGTATTTTTGGACGGGCACATCAAACGCTTCAAACAGCTCTCGTCCACCTTTTCTAAACAGGCTGATATTCGCTCCCGTGTCCAGCCATCCCGGCAGCTGTTGGGTCAGGACTCAGACTTAGGCGAATGGTCGAGGGTCTTCCTTTCCATTGCGCTTAACCACGGCAACTATTTCTAGCCTCTGCGCTCGTCGTTTCCGGAATCGATCCTTGGCCTTCTGGACTTTTCTGAACATCAATCTCATGAAGCTCAACTTTTGCTCCTCGAAGATCCGGTTTCTGACCCCCAAGTACCGGCGCATCCGATCTTTCTACGGTAAAGACTTTTACATTAAATTACAGCTATCCTAAAAATGTATCCACAGTCCTAAGTAGGGACATTTACTGCTTCTCGGAACTCCTCTCTGGGCGCATCCTTTTCGGCCTGGGATCGCCCAGTCGATCGTTTTCCGCGCAATCCGGGCAGTTCGGAGTGATGACGTCCGGGTTTCCGCGTACCTAGCAGAAAAGTCTGCTGTCTCGTTCCAATCCGGAGCCTCTTCAGCCTCAGAAAGCACTCCCTCGCTCACCCTGAGTTTGTCCCCGGGGTCAAAGCGCGGTTGCTGCCCATATGAGGTGCGTCCTCGGAGGCCGAAATTGCGTTCGACCTCGATGCAATAAGTCGAAGAATTCCAAATCGGTGACATCATTCGGTCGGAATAGCATTTCGGCCACGATGTTGGCGGATAAATTTTGGGTACACACTATCACAGATGATATTTTTGAAGCAACATATTGATTTGTGTAGACCGATCATCGAATTTGATTTATTTAATCACTGCTTGGATATTGTCAGCATGTCATCCAGGTACACAAAAACGAGGCTGCGCAGACGCTGTTGGATTACTTTATCCATTACTCTACAGAACCTTTTAGCCGAATTACACAGGACGCATATCTAACTAGCTTAAGATCGACTTAAGGTTTTGTAATGGGTAAGCATCTTTTAGTGAGAGTGTATTCAGTTCCCTTACGTCAAAACAGAGCCTATTTAATCCAGGTGTTTCTACTAGCGTCCTTCGGTTATTCCAGGGACTTTCACTTAAATCGATGAGTCCTTTCCGTAGAATTTCGTCTACTTCAGCAAACAGTAATTGTTGTTTTGCCGTAGACACTTGAAAGAATCCTATAAGAACTTCAAAGGAGTATAGGTAATCGATGTGTCAACCCATTGTAGGAAATATTGGTCTGAAATGCTGTGTACCTCCTGATGATTTCATGATCGATTGTGACCTATCTAGCCTCCGCCCAAACTTTGCAAATATTTCTAGGCAACCTTATCTAAATAAACTGACTGATGCTACGGAATTCAAGAGACCCACGATTTCCGTGGATTTTACCAAGACCTGCGCAAAAGGACTTTTATCGCCTCTCACTGTCGGTACTATGGCGAAACCTGTTATTCTTTTTCCGACCTTCCGTTGATAATTACTTTTGGAGAAATGTTCACAAATATTCGGTTCCGACCATCTTATTATATGTATTGGTTTATCCTTGCAAGGCTTTTATATGTTGCTGGAAAGCGGATTGGAGCGTGGTCCCGGGCTTTTGACCAAGCTCCTCCAACCGTTTCCCGCTGGGTATCGTGGACACTTTGGAGAAGCAGAACACCTTGACTACCTCAGAACGCATGTTCTTTTATTCCCTAATTCAAACATGTAAGTGGCTGTTGCTCCTTGATGTAGTCCTTGTGTCTATGCAAAGCCTAAGCTTCCTCCTGTTCCAGAGGTGCGCACTCTACCCTCAGACGATCGTTATACCCCCGGCTATGCTCGAGGTTGCTCGGATGCAGAGCCTACCGGGTCGCCAGTATTTTCTCCGTGTCGTGACATTCATAACGGAGTTGATCCAGGTTAGTAATATATATTGAGTATATAATTTTTGAAAAAAAAACAAGGAAGAACGCTACAGTCGAGTACCTTGACTATCAGATACCCGTTACTCAGCTAAATGGAGATATGCAAGCAGCAAAGCGAGATTAAAATGCGCCACCTACCGGCGGTATACAGATTTAAGCGTTATGGGCGTTAGAGTGGGCGTGGCAAATTTTATCAATCGATAGGTATTAACGAGACCAATACATTTCAGTTAAAATTTTTTATCTAGCATGAAAATTGTGGGCGTCACAGGTTTGGGCGGTTTGTGGGCGTTAAAGTGGGCGTGGCAAACTTTTTTTTAGGTCAATCGATAGGTATTGATGAGAACAATACATTTCAGCTAAAATTTTTATTCTATCATCAAAACTGTAGGAGCCACAGTTTTGGGCGGTTTGTGGACGCTAGAATGGGCACTCTGCTGAAACGCGCTTGCGCTGCGTAAGAAGCTCAGAAATCTGCACGCCAAATTTCAATAGCCTAGCTCTTATAGTTTCCAAGATCTCAGCGTTCATCCGGACAGACAGACGGACAGACGGTCAGACGGACATGGCTAGATCGACTCGGCTAGTGATCCTGATCAAGAATATATATAATTCATGGGGTCGGAAACGCTTCCTTCTGCCTGTTACATACTTTCCGACAAATCTAGTATACCCTTTTACTCTACGAGTAACGGGTATAAAAACAGAATACAAAGTGATGATGTGCTAAACCTTTCAAAAGGGGGGTGCTGACGCGAGAAGTGGTGTAGGTCAAGAACAATGACATATCTTTCGACGGACAACCTTGACAATAAGGGATTGTATTGCACGGCCCGCAACGATCCGTTTGGCACACGAATGTGTGAAGCCTGATCGAATTACGATCAAGCGAAAGCTAAGCTTGTGGGGCAGTGTGGACTGACGAACTTTACGCACTAATATTGTTTTCAAGGCTCTTTAAATATTTTTTCTCGTTATGTTGGATAGCTTAGCCGGTAAAATGGTGCCTGAACATCGGACGCCTCTCCCTCGGCCACATTTTATCTATTTTTAAACCTCTAGCACTTATAGTTTCCCAGATCCCAGAACGGATTTGGCTAGATCGACTTGGCTAGTGACTCTGATAAAAAAGTCGGAGTTGCTTTCTTCTACCTGTTACATACTTTTTCGGGTTACTCTACGGGAAACGGGTGTAATAATTAGAAAATTCAATAGAGTATATTCATACACAAATTCGGCTGCTTACGATTTTTCACTAGCGCCACCTAGGAATGAACGATAGGTGGCGCTTTTTTGGTAGCTGGGCAACGGGTTTCTGATAGTTGGGGCCGTCGTCTATATCGATTTCTCTTATTTTTTCTGCTGACGATAACCTTTGTACTTTATTGGTTAGGCCCAGTATTCAACCTAAAAAAGTGGGCCAAGCAAAAAATTATATTTTCAGCCAATTTACTAATATCCGTGTTCAAAAATTTGGTCACACCGGCTAAAGCCAAATTAACAAATGTAAGGCAATGTAGGATATTGCACTTCTAAAGAGAATATAAATTATTGCTGTAATAGTTGCTTTTGTTATTAACAACATGTTACTGCAAAATTTATCAAGAATGAAAGGCAAAAAGATGCGATGTAATTTTTTTGGGTTATTCCTTTTTTGGCCAAACGGCCAGTGTGGGCGAAATTTGAATTAAATTGAATTTCGACTGAAGATATTTCTGTGACACCCCAAAAAGTAACAGCACCCGGTGGTCAATTAAAAATGATTGTTAACTCAAGAAATGCATTATATGAAATATCGTTTCTTTTGTGAGGCAAAAAGACTGTAGTCAAAAGACCTCAATCAAAATGTACCATTCTTATACCCCCGCAGAGAGTATAATGATTTCAGTCAGAAGTTTGCAACGCAGTGAAGGAGACGTTTCCGACCCCATAAAGTATATATATTCTTGATCAGCATGACTAGACGAGTCGATTCCGTCCGTTTCTACGCAAGTTTTAAAGCTATCGGGCTGAAACTTTCCCAAAAGTCTTATATCTTTTGCAGGTAGTATATAAGTCGGAACCAGCCGGATCGGCCAACTATATCTTATAGCTCCCAAAGGAATAATCGGGAAAAAAATTTTTTAAAATTATATCTTTGGTGTTTTTTAACATATAGCCTGCTAAGCTTGGAAATAATATTTTTTAATTAGTTTTGAATTTCGAATTAAATTTTATCAAAATCGGACGACTATATCATATAGCTGCCATAGGAACGATCGGAAAATTGGTGGGAAAATAATATGAAACAAATTATAGCTTCGGTGTTTTTTAACATATAACCTTCTACGCTTGGAAATAACATTTTTTAATTAGTTCTGAATTTCGAATTTAATTTTATCAAAATCGGACGACAGCTATATTATGCCATAGGAGCGATCGGAAAATTGGTAGCTTCCGTGTTTTTTAACATATAACCTCCTAAGCTTGAAAATAGCATTTTTTAATTAGTTTTGAATTACATTTTATCAAAATCGGATGACTATATCATATAGCTGACATAGGAACGATCGGAAAATTGGTGGGATAATAATATGAAACACATTATAGCTTCGGTGTTTTTTAACATATAACCTTCTACGCTTGCAAATAACATTTTTTAATTAGTTCTGAATTTCGAATTTAATTTTATCATAATCGGACGATTATATTATATAGCTGCCACAGGAACGATCGGAAAATTGGTGGGAAAATAATATGAAACAAATTATATCTTCGGTGTTTTCTGACATATTATCTTATACAATTGGGAATATCATTTTATGTATTTTTATACCCGTTACTCGTAGAGTAAAAGGGTATACTAGATTCGTCGGAAAGTATGTAACAGGCAGAAGGAAGAGTTTCCGACCCCATAAAGTATATACACTCTTGATCATGATCACTAGCCGAGTCGATCTAGCCATGTCCGTCTGTCCGACTGACCGTATGAACACTCAGATCTCGGAAACTATAAGAGCTACAATACTGGGATTAGGCATGCAGATTTCGGAGATTCCTGTGCAGCGCATGTTTGTTTCAGCAGAGGGTCACGCCCACTCTAACGCCCAGAAACCGCCCAAAACTGTGGCTCCTACATCCTTTTGATGTTAGAATAAAAAGTAAAATGTATTGTTCTCGTCAATACCAATCGATTGACCCAAAAAAAGTTTGCCACGCCCACTCTAACGCCCACAAACCGCCCAAGTCTGTGGCGCCCACAATTTTTATGCAAGATAATAAATTTTAACTGAAAGGTATTGGTCTGGTCAATACCTATCGATTGATACAAAAAAAAATTTTCCACGCCAACACTAACGCCCATAACGCTTAAATCTGTCTACCGCCGGTGGGTGGCGCATTTCAATCTCGCTTTGCTGCTTGCATATCTTCATTTCCCTTTGGTCCCATTAGCTGATTAACGGGTATCTGATAGTCTAGGTACTCAACTATAGCGTTCTTCCTTGTTAAATTTAATTATTATAACTGTAATTTGTAATTCTTGTTATACCTGTTACTCCTATAGTAATAGGGAATACTAGATTTGTCGGAAAGTATATAGCCGGGAGAAGGAAACGTTTCCGGCCCTATATATTTTCTTGATCAGGATCACTAGACGAGTTGATCTAGCCATGCCCGTCTGTTCGTCCGTATGAACGCTGAGATCTCGGAAACTATAAAGCTAGAAATTTAAGATTTGACATGTAGATTCTTGAGCTTCTTGCGCAGAACATGTTGTCTCAGCAGGGTACCATGCCCACTCTAAGGCCCACAAACGCCCATAACTGCTTGCATATATATATCTCCCTTTGGCCCCTTTAGCTGACTAACGGGAATCAGATAGTCGAGGAACTCGACTAAAGTGCTCTTCTGGTTTTTATTATTAATGTCCACATGCCAAACATTTTTTAATTCGGTCCATTCATTAAAAAGTTATAAGCTATTATTACTTGTATATCTCTTTGTTATGTCCCGTCTTTATTTGTTTATGTACCTTCCCCGCGAACTGAATTCGCCCTAAATGAAAAATGGCCCCGAGGCAACTAGTTTGTACTACTCTTAGTGCATCAACGTTCAACAGTGTACTATCAGGGGTGGGACAGAAATAATTGTAGAGCTTACTCGTGTAAAATTTCAATTGATGCAGATCAGATATTTACGTTGAACGAACGCTTTGCGCCTACGGGCATTTCCCCCAAAAAGTCAATCAAACCAAAAAGCTTTAAGATTATTTCCAACTAGATGGATGGATTCCACACTTAGCAACGCAATTTGTATATAGTTTGTTCAATTTCATTATCGAATCCTAAGAACACACCCAAATAGTATTTTTTTGGTTATTTGTTGGTATTTCTTATTTCTAGTTATTTTATCCAATAGCAACGTTCGTATGCGACAATTTTGTATACTCAATACTCATACCTACTATTGTATACCCTTTACTCAGCTAAGGGGAGTGCGATGAGATTGAGATATGCAAGCAGCAAAGCGACTGTTCGCACACCTCTTTACTTGCTTATACACTTTTAATGGATAGTCCGAATTAAACAATGGCATGCAAACATATATAGTTAATCAAAACAAATCTTCATTTATCCTTCAACAAAATATTTAAAAATGTGGACGATAGACAGGTTACAGGTAATGGGTTTTGAAGTGGACGTGGCACCCAGCTAAAACAAACATGCGCAGCGCAAGAGCCTCAAGTATGCCAACATTCTAGCTTTAATAGTTTTAGAGATCTCTGCGTTCATACGGACGGACAGACAATCGGAAATGGCTACATCGACTCTGCTAGTGATCCTGATTCTAAGGTCGGAAACGCTTCCTTGTACCTGTTACATTCTATTCCTTTACTCTTCGAGTAACGGGAATAAAGAGTAACGAAATAGCAGTTACAGATTCGATTGATATTCCTAGTCCAACATCTTCGTCTGTACACACCTGCCAAGTCCGTCGAGACCAAGTCCCCTTAAAATGGGACAAAGCTGAGAAAGAGTTTGAAGTTTGCCTAGGCACCATACCACCATTACGTTTGAGGGGGCGGAGGAGATTTTGGCAATACCTATTCCCAGCAAACCACCAATCAACGTGACGCCAGGTGACCGAGTGCCTCTTTGTGATACTGATATTTTTGTATTTGAGTGATGTTATTCCGAATCTGGCCTCGCTCTAAAAGAGCGCCTGACGGCTTTAGCACACTCCCAAATTTCCACACAGAACTGGGATTGAACAAAAATAATTTCTTAGAAATTGCAAAAGCGTTTTGTCACGAAGTAAGATCATATGAACTTGGCTCAGGGAAACAAGTGGTGCGTTCCGACACTTTTTTGTTCTCGGGGTTCAAAGTTCGAGTCCTGCCCAAAACACATTGTAAGTTAATTTTTTTCTAATAAGTATATTATACTGAAAATGGCTAGGGAAATATTTAAAATGCTTCCCAAAAACTTTTGACTTACTCTTACCCTTACCCATTCAAGGCATACATAAGTTATACATAAGTTATCGATTTCCACCGCCGTCAAAAAAAATAAAATTGAATAGTACCATGAGATAACATTTAACATTTTTTTTTTGTATAGCCATTTTTTAAGGCGTATATGGCCTAAAATGATCAATTTTTTATAATAGGGCTCAGTTTATTTTTCATAAAATAGTACCTTAAATAATTGATTAAGCAATTATAAGCAATACAATTATTAATTGGTTAGCTCCAACATAAAAAAAAAGGATTTTAGCTGTAGAACCGGAGAATTATAAGGACTTATACTGGACCTATCTTTCATTCACTATATACTATATACATAAGTATATTGTTTGCTATAAATAGCTCTATCATTTGTTTCACCGATTATATCTGTTCTAAAGGGAATCTTTACATTTTTATTTAATGATCCATATTAATAATACTAAATATTTCATTCTTCAAATCTTTCCTTTGAACTGCAGACGATATTTTTAAATTAATAATTACTTAGTTGACGGATATTTCAAAGACGGCGTGTTCAGGACTTGTAACTGCCAAACTTTAATTTTTGTAAGGGTATACTAAATTCGTCGGAAAATACGTAACAGTACAGTGCCTACTAAAATAGCAGACAGGTCGGCAATTCGTTTTGTCTTGAGATTGCAAGAGGACTCCTGCTAGTCCGATCGGACAAGCATCTGTGTGTACCTCATGATGTGCTGCAAAGTCATACAGATCTAGAACAGGAACACAGCATAATTTGTCGATTAGCTCGTTAAAAGCTGGTCATTTTCCCAATCAAAACAGTTCTGGTCTGATTTACGCAACAATCGTGTAAGGGGTCTTGTTATTAAGGAGTAGTTTTCAACAAACTTTCGAAAGAAACCCGTTAGACCCAAAAATCGTCTGTCATTCTTTACGTTATTGAAGTTTTTAAAGTTTTTGATAGCGCTCAACTTGCTTTCTCCAGGAGTGATACCATCTTTGTTGACAATATGGCCCAAGAAAAATATTTCTGATTGAAGATACTTGCATTTGTCATAGCGAAGTGTTAAGCCGCTCTCTTTAAGAATTCGAAAGAATTTTTCGAGTCGTTGGATACCCTCATCAAATGTTTGTCTGGGAACTATGACGTCACCTAAATATGCGAGTACCGACGACAGGTCTAAGTGCAAAAGGCTTACGGTAGGGCTTAGTGTAGCACGGAACGTTTGATGTTAAAGTTATTTCCGTTTTGGTTAGAGAACATTTACCGAGCTCATTAGCTTTCTCCGCAAAGCAAGAAGCGTTCCCAATATCAATCCGTTTATAAGTTCGTTTCCAACTGAGGAACGCTCTTCGCTTGTTTGAATTTTTCGAATATTCTCTACGTAACACTCGTTACCGAGGATGATCAATTTGTTTCCATCGCGACAAAAGATATCCTTACCCAAAAGTACATTTTCGGTTATTAGTTTATCTTCTACGACCAAAACTTCCACTTCGTAATCAGAATCGCTGTAAAACACCTACGTTTTCGGCGAATGCCTTACGAATTAGCGTTCGCGTACTGCCTGGATCTACGAATGCGACGGTTTCATTGCCATTTAACTAGATCAATTTGGAGATTTCCGAATCAGAGTTAGGGTCAATTTTATTATTTTTTGGACCTGCTTTTGTGTTATCGGGGCAGCTGGCAGAATCCTGTGTTGTGCGATTGCAGTGCGTGCAACGAGGCTTGCGCTGGGGCTCCGGGCAAGAATAATGTCCAACCTTTTGACAACGGTAGCATTTAACTGATACTTAGACTTTGTCGTTAGAAGGACGTTTTGTAACCAAGGATGAATTCGGCTTATGAACGCTGACGTTAAGATCCCGTTTGTTTGACATTTGACTGGCGTTATGCTTTATGATATTATGCGCTGAGTATGCAAGAATATCGCGTAGAAGTTAGTTACACGAAACATAACTGTTGGATATCTTTCTGTTTAGATCGTAGTCGTTAATCCCGTTGATAATGTGTGTGCATATTGCTGAATCTGGTGGCTCAACCTTTTTACCTAAGGCTAGCATCTTGTAAAAATAATCTGACGGTGACTCGGTGGAATCTCTATGCGTTTTTGACATCTTAAGGTGAACGTCTGCCGGATTGCTGAGACATGGAAAGTCATTTAAAAATCTTGCAGTAAACTTGCGCCATGTTTGAAATATTTGATCCGTAGAGTCTACACAATAACGAGCAGCACCCAGCATCTTTTGTTGAACTGCAAATATTACCTTACGATCATCCCAACGATAAGCGTTACGAAGGGAGTTAACACGCCTTACAAATTGATGTGAGCTCAAGGATTTACCAGACGGTTTGCATTCCGGAAGCAGCGCGACAATATCGCTGATGTTTCCATAGGAGGGATTAAGGTTTTCATTGCCAGTAGGGATCCTGTTATCCAAGTAGCCTGCAAGAGCACACGGATACTTGTTTTACATCGGTTGATGTATTGGAAAAGTACTGTATTGATTAAAATCGTTTCCCGAAGTTACAAAATTTCCAAAGTTTGAGTAAGTGACCGGGATGTTTACGTTTGGCTGTGATGTAGCACAGTCTGCAAATTTCTGTGACGTAGAAAAGTGCACGGTGTGTGGTTGAGTCGGGTAGATAACATTTCGCTGTGACGTAGCAAAGTGCACGTTGTGTAGTTGAGTTGGGTAGATGTCGTTCTGCTGTGACGTAGCAAAGAGCATGTTGTGTGGTTGAATTGGGTAGTTATCGTTCTGCTGTGACGTTGCAAAGAGCATGTTGTGTGGTTTAGTTGGGACATTCGTTAATTTTCGCATATGCAACTCGCTGGATCGAGGGTCGATTTCTTGTTGTTGCCGTTTTTCATCATGCCTCTGACTCGTTGTATAGATACCGTTGGCTGGCTGAACTTCGTTTACTGTTGCAGATTTTTCGATTGCTGATGATATTACGGAGGGGTGAAAATATCTCTTCTGAAGCTCTCGGACCGTTTACTCTAGTATTAGTATATAGCCATGAGTTCCTCCTCTTTGTCGCAAGCTTCTCCCGAGATCTGATCGTTCCCTGCGTAAAGTGTTACAATTTTCAAACCAGTCCGTATCCATACATCCGCGTGTGAAATTCTTACAATTTTGTTGACCAGTACGACCCGTTATTACTCCCAATATTGGTGGTAAGATAATTGGGACGTATATTGAGAGAATCTAATCGTAATTCCCGGAAAACAGCAGTGACCAGAGACACGTGCGAATTCTCGGAATTGTCGGAAGTTTTACAGTCCTTCCTCTGCGCACAGCAAGGAGCAGGTGCCGCGGGCAGCGGTTTATTAGCGGAACCATACGTTTCTTCAGCGCCAGGCCAGAATCCCCATTTGAGATTCTCATACCGCACACCGCGTGAAAGGAATTGTTCGTACCCAAAGGTACTCAACATGACCACACCCAACAAATCAAGCAGCAGCCAAGTTGGGAACAGTACCAGGCGCTCAGTAGCACCCACTGCATATGAGAATTGCTGATCAGCATATTATATGTCTCACTAACTCACCGTTTCACCGACTCAACGGCACACTGACCGGCCAATGCAGTCAGCACATTTTGCAGTGTCAGCCAACTACGCAAAGCCAACTACGCAAACTGCTACCATAATCATAATTCCCTGACCAACTTTAGAATATAGCTTACTTCACTAATATTACACTAAACTTCCGTGTTCCAAGTAGTATATAAACATGTTCCAAATGAAGAATAAAACAGTTATCAACACACCTCTTAACTCCGAGGTTCTACTTCCTACATCTGGGAATAGGGCTCGTTATACACTATCTCAACTAGCAGCTAACCACATTAGCTCACCCTCAGCGCAGCTCCAGCATCGCCTGTGGTCCGGCATCGCAGTAACCATCGTTACCATTGCCGCGACGCGATCGTCCTGCCATCAAAGCGTCCCCATGCCAGCGACAAGTGCTCATTACCCCCTTGTCCCGCGGTGTGACCCGGAAGTGTCTACTTCGGTTAGGCACAAACAGGAATCTTTCATCCTTGCCACAACTGGACTATTTTCATCATCGGCAAACCATAAGCAGCTTCAAGGATCGCCGCCGTCAACCCGCGTGAGGTTTTGACCTTACCAAATCCGCCGCCACCATCTACAATTTGGATCACGTTGCGAGTGTGCTTACGACATGTGTGACATATATACACCTAAATTAAACTATTCTACAGCGAACATCGATCGTCATCAGGCCTGCTGACTTTGTTGGAGAGTTCGTAAGTACGGCATAGCCGTAAATCATTTACATTATCACATATATATATTCATTCTTGTCTGAGCCCGCAAACTTTTGGTACAAATATATACATGTAAGTTTTCCCACATTCATGTATTAATAAATATTAAATAAGAATCGTTTGCCCTTTTATAACTTAACGTAATCCGCCTAAGAGCTTTTCTGTAGTTTTTGAAAAAGTTTACCGCATATCGATAAAATATGTAATCAGTTTCGTAATAATTTAACGTAAACTAAATATCCATTTCTTTTCCTATTTTATAATCTCATAATCATATAGAAAGTCGTTTGGCGTTAAGAACGCTTAGTCTTAAGGTTTTAGTGTTAGAATTTGTAGTATTAAGAACCATGAACCATATTATCGTATTTGCCGTATTAAATTAAATTTAAGATGAATTAATTTGTGATCTTTTGAGGGCACCATAGAGGATGTAGCGCAGCCGCTGTTTTAAGGGTGGAGTCTAATTAGACTTCACAGGTACGGTGGGTATAGAAGGTGGCCAATAACATCTGGGCCTCCGTCTTCGATAGGTGCAGTCTCTCGTCCGAATATTAGCCGTTGGGTTAAAATCCTTATCGTTACCATGTATCTGTCTACCATTGTTAGTTTTGTGACACTCTTATTTCATCTTAACACAAACCCACACCCATCTACTTGATCAGGTCAGTCAAAGCGTAGACAGATGTGTTAGGGTGGACTTGCTGTGATCAAGAAGACTCAAAAACATTATCCAATTTATTTATCTATTTATTTCATTTCCGCCAACGGAATTCCTTTACTGGCTACTTGAACATTTCAACAACTTATCTTACGTACTAAAATTCACAAAATAATTGACTAACCTATGCTTAAGATTTGATTTACTTGAGAAGTAGTCCAATTGCATATCAATTGGAAGTGCGTTAGACTCATATAATTTGTATCTAGCCTTGCTCGAATGTCCCAAACTACATCAGTAATGGCACGAATACAACATTTATTTTTTCTGAAGCCAGATTGCTTTTCACTAAGCATGGAATTGATATCCATAAAGGGTTGTACCAGTGCCGCCAGTATATTTACAAAAATTTTTGACAAGAAAGGAAGTAGGGATATGGGTCTGAATTCGGTTTGACTTTTCGGTACAGGGACAATTTTCGCGTACTTCCATGCGGAGGGAAAAGTGGATATGGTAATTGCTGTGTTCATAATGTGTGTAATATGGCTAAGGACTAAAGGTAACAACAACTTTAAAAATTTAGGGCTAATGCCCTTTAGGCCTTCAGCCTTTGAATTTAATGCTAAGTAAACATTCAAGAACATCACATTGTCTAATACACATTAAGCTAAATCTATTATCACAGTCTGGTAGGCATTCAGGTCCTTGTTACATGTAGCTTCAGGTACATCAAGTTGCACAAACTACCTGTACAGATCGTTGACGTCCATTTGGAGTTGGGCCAGCTGCTTGCTTTTACTAATTCCAATGTTTATAAGTTCTCGCCATGTTTTTTAAGGGATAAATTTTTAAAATTGGTCCAATATAACTCACACTTTGCAGATCTGATTATCTGCCGAACATTATCACGCGCCCGAGTGTATTTCAATCTAAAAAAGGCGGGTTTATATCGCTTCCACTTATTGTAGGATGCGTCATGGATCTCAATAATTGTTTTAATGTTATGGGTAAACCAAGGATTTTGCTTTGGATGAATAGTTTTTTCCCTTATTAACACACATTTGTTATAAAGGTTGTTAAGTTGTGACGCCGTGCCGAAAATGCTATGTAAGGCTGACATCGTAAGAGGGGCTCTTGGGAGTAGGTAAACGACTGAAGTTCAAAGATAACAATTTAGCCTTTAATTCATTAGCTTATAATGTGTACACTTCACTCTTGATCATTAATTAACTTTACAAAAATGGGTCGCAATGGACAAAAGGTAAAAGCAGACGATGTTGTTCCGGTCGCTGAAGCTCGTAGTTCTCTTTTTCCTCTCGCAAGCTCTGTAGAGTTGGCAGGGCTATAGCGGCTAAGACAAAGAGAAAGAAAAATGACATACGGATGCAATTGATTACCAAGGGAGCAACAGCTGGTTCATATTAGCATGAGAACGGCAGGCGACAAAGCTTGGAGATGGAGCGTTTTTGACTGCCTGATTTTGTTTTCAGTGTTACAACTCGAACGAGTGAATCCTCTCCAGGATGGAGACTGGTAATTCTACCGAACGTCCATTGCGATGGAGGGCAGTTGATCGTCCTTGATGAGTACTAATTCATTGATCTCAAAATTCTCCCTTTCCTGACTCCATTTTGGGCGCGCTTGAAGATGGGACAGCCAATCCAAGCTCCATTGCGTTCAAAACTGACGGATCAAATTTTGATGAGACAGAAATTGCTCACGGAACGACGAGTTTTGAGGGCGACAATGGGCAGGTGCGAGCAGGGTATCACCAATGAGAAAATGTGCCGGCGTGAGAGCTTCTAAGTCGTCTGGATCAGCTGTTAGCGGACAAAGTGGCCGACAGTTTAGGCAAGCCTCAATCCTGATGAGCACCGTTGCGAGTTCCTCATAAGTTTGCTTGTGACTTCCGACAATCCTTTTTACGTGATGCTTGATGGACTTGACCCCGGCCTCCCAAAGTCCTCCGAAATTGGGGGAGTATGGCGGAGTGAAATGCCAAGTAGGGCACGTAGCGTGGTCGTGATCCGCCTGTGGTGCGCATGCTAATAACTTATTGGCGCCAACGAAATTTGTTCCGTTGTCGCTATACATATGTTGAACTGGTCCTCGGCGACCAGTAAAACGAGAAAATGCTAGTTGGAAGTGTTCCGACGAGAGTCCGGTAACCGCTTCTAGGTGAACTGCCTTCGTAGCCAAGCAGACGAAAATAGCAATGTATCCTTTGTAAGTACTTGTTCCACGAAGCCGTGCTGCCTTGATTTCGATTGCCCCGGTATAATCGACGCCGGTCGCAATGAATGGGCGGTTCGGTGGGTTGACCCTGGGTACCGGCAGGTCGCCCATCAATTGACTTCCGATGCTAGGTGACGCGCGGAAGCACGTGATGCATTTTCGAAGGATTGTTCGGACGGCTTGTCTTACATTTGGAATCCAGAACTTGTACCTCGTGTGGGCTAGAGTAAGATGAGCGCCGCCATGCAGGGTAGCTTGATGGGAGTTCTGAATTACCAGCTCTGTAAAGAAATGACGCTGCGGTAAGATGATTGGATGTTTGCGATCGAAAGAAAGGTTCGAATGTTTGAGACGACCGCGAACGCGTAAGATGCCGTCGTCAAGAAAGGGAGTGAGATTTCCTAGGATGCTCTTCGGAGGCAGAGGATTTTCTGCGATGATTCACGACGTCCAGTATCTCTGGCGACAGCTGACTGTGCGATCTGGTTTTCTTCGATTGAGTGTTGTGACAAAAGCGCAGTATGTATGCAATGACTCGAACTAGTTTGGTGTAAGTCGAAAACCGCTCAATGATATTAATGTCTACTTGGGTGGTGTGCAAACGAATCCGAAAAGATTTTGCTTCTAGGGGCTGCTCATCAAACTTTATGTTCGGTACCTCTGTGTCCGGCCACTCACTGGAGTGTTGCCTAAACCATGATGGTCCGTGCCACCAGAGATCAAAGATGGAGATTTATGATGGGGATAGTCCTCTCGTGGCGCTGTCTTCTGGATTATCCGCCGTGGGAACATGTCTCCATTGGTTTTAATCGCTGTCGTCCAGAATGTAGGCAACGCGATTGGCGACGAACGTTTTCCATCTAGTAACATATCCTTTGATCCAGTGGAGAACGATAGTGGCGTCCGTCCAGTATGTAATGGAGATGGAACCTGGTACTGGGTCGACTCGGAATGTAGGTGTGCCATTGTGACTTCTTTTAGAACTAATTTTGCTGTAATGAGAATAGGAGCGATTAATCCTAAGGGGTCGAAAAGTCCAGCGATGCTCGAAAGAATTTCTCTTTTGGTTGAACCCGTGGGAATGCTCGCTTGCAATTTGTAGGTGAAACAGTCTTGGTTAGGTAACCAATGCATTCCTAAGGTTTTGACTGTATAAGAGCTGTCGCAGCTTTGAGAAGTTTGATTGCATCGGTTTGATGATGGAATGCTGTCTAGGAGCGCTATGTCGTTGCTAGATAGTGTGATCACCAGAAAGAATATCGTATCCGCCACTGGATAATTTTCGCGTTCATCTTCTGCAAGTTGAGGAATGACTCTGATGGCGGTGAATGGTGCAGAAGCGGTACCGAAAGTTACAGTTGACAGACAATATTCCTTGATGTTTCCATCCGCCTCCCGCCATAAAATCCGCTGGTACTGCATATCGTCCGGATGTACGTCGATGCAACGGTACATGCGCTGGATGTCGGCGGTGAAAACATGTCGGCACTGTCTCCAATTCAGCAACACTGCAGGGAGATCATTTTGTAGAGTGGGTCCTATGGACAATACATCGTTTAGAGATCGACCGTTTGAGGTCTTTGCCGATGCGACGAAAACACTGCGCTGTTTGGTGGTGAAACTGTCTTCTTTATAGACAGCGTGATGAGGAAGAACGCAGGATTCAACCCGACAGGGTTTTGTGGAGGTACTGACTGTTGATCTCTCACTAGAGACTGCTGG